TCATGTTATTTCTGGAAATCTAACTCATTTAAGACAGTTGCTTTCAATAAATTTATGATGAAAATATAGTATAGATTTTATAAAATGGACTATTTTTGTGATAGGTAGTCTCTGAATTAGATAGCCTCTACCATCCCCCCACCCCCAATGGTCTGTCCTCATAATTTAAGTCCATGTGTATCTTGTCCCACACTGAATCATGACTAGCTTCTGATGATAATGTATTGAGAAAATGATGATGTGTGACTTTCAAAACTAAATTGCAAATGATATTGTAGCTTCATTCTTGGTCTCTTGCCGCAGTCTTGGCTGGGCACTAGATCACGAGCCACTCACACTTTGTAGATTCAAACAGCAATTCTTTATTCCCGAACTCACACCGGCCTCTACACACGTTCAGGGGAAATCTAAAATCTGCCCGCACAATTCACATCCCAAATACTTTCTGAATTCCATGAGAACTCAACGGGAACTCAGGCAACAGGAACGCCCTATTCCCAGCAGCAATAACCTTAAACCTGGAACTTCCTTAAACCCAGATTATCTTAAACCGGGAACACCTTAAACTTGTCTTAAACCGGGAACGCTCTAAACTCAAGGAGCGGGATACTTCCTCAAACCGGCAGGATACACCTTAAACCTGGATCCACCCTCGTCCTTGAGCAGGGTCACCTTTCTCAAACACACATGCAAGGTCCCAGCGGATTTCCAAGGCAAGTCCATTTAACATGGGGTACGCTGGCAAGGAAATTTCGATGTGTCATTCCTACCTGGCAATGGCCCTCAGCAGTCTCTTGGAGAGCTCACTTTTCAGGGAAGCCAGATGCCATGCTGTAAAAACACTCACTTGGGAAAGAACTGAGACTTCCTGGTAACAGTTCCTAGCCATATGAGTGAACTACCTTGAAGGCAGATCCTCTAGTGTCAGTCAAACCCTGAGATGACTTAAGCCCCAGTGACATCTGATTGAAAACTCAGGAGACACCCTTAGCCAGTAAAACTTAACCAAGCCCTTCCTAAATTTTTGTTCCACAGAAACTGTGAAAAATAAAAATGTTTATTGGTGTTTTCAGCCAAGAAGTACTATAGGGATGAATTAAACATCGGTAGATACTTAATATAATCTCCACAGCACAACTTGTGTTGTAGCTGGAACACAAGTCTAGTTTCCTATGGAAGGAATACAAAGCTCCAAGTAGTGAGACCCTTGATAATAGAGGAGTATATCCAGATGTTCAGATGTTAGTATTCCTGTTCTTGGAGAGGCGGGGAGGATAGTTTTTCTATATAGCAGTGCTTGGTGAGTAATCCATGTCTCTGAAGCTTTTTTCAGAAGTACTGGACTGTCAAAGTAAAACAGTCTTCCATTCTGTTTCTTCCTCCAACGAGAGCTTCTTGGGTAAGGAAGGAGAAATTTGCTTGGATTGAAAATAGGTAATGTGGGAGAATCATGATGCTTGTCCCATTGACAGATCTATTGAAGGCCCCATTATTCACAGGCTACTGAGCCATTAACCAAGGTTTGGCCTGAACACACATCTGGTATAGGGTGGGAAAGGATTGTAAGGCCAAATGTTAATAGCTTTTTTTTTTTTTTTTTTTGGTAAACAATGACATCTACTGGAGCCCCAGCAGCTCCTATTTTGTATCATCAAAAACAAAGAACACAATTAAAAAGCATAACAAACTCATGAACACCTATTATGTGCTAGGCACTACTGTAAATACTTTGCCAATCCATTAACACATTAATGACTTAACCCTCAACAGTCCTTTGAGGTCGGTGCTACCTTCTGTACTCATTTAGCAGGCAGAAAAACTGGCCCAGGTCACACAGCTAGTAAGTGGTGCAGCTAGGTTTCTGGACCTAGCCTAGTCAATGCTCTCAATGAATACATATTCAGCCTTTTTTGGGGGATGGGGAGAAGTACTGAAGATTGAATCCCATTGAGCTATCTCCCCAGTCCTTTTTATTTTATTTTATTTTATTTTATTTTAAATTTAAGACAGTGTCTTGTAAAGCTGCTGCAAGTTTCTCCAAGTTGCCGAGATGTGTCTCATTATTCCGGGTGCATCACAGCCCCAGAACCCAAGCAATGTGGCACATGTGGAGCAGTAGTCCCCTCAGTACCTGTAAGTGCAGCCAGAGTGGCAAACGGGAGAGAACCCTCCCTAATACTCCAGACCAATCATTCAGCGGGCCGAGCTGGCCTGACGACATCCCCAGGAGGAACTGCCGGTAGCAGGGTCGTTGCCTGTACCCCAGCCTAGGCTTGCCAGTCTGTCCCTGGAGTGGTAGTCAATGGTGATCGAGGTAGGGGATCTCAGAGACTCGGTGCTTCCGAGGCTCCTGGAGAGGAGGTGGAACTTGCGGTGGAACTCGGCAGCTCTCCCGGAGCCTCGGGCAGGTGCGGTTCCCACGCTCTCTGGGCACTGGCGCCTAGCTGGGCTTGTGGTCCTTGTAAAGCAAAGCTCGTTTTGCGGTCTTGGTGACTGATTGCTGATGTGGACATGTATTCTCTCATTCTCCAACCCATGTCTTTGGGATACAGAGGTGGCTAGACGTAACGGGACACGTGTCGTCTCCGTGCGAGGCAGCAGAAGTCTCACCTGTACCTCCTTATTTCTCTTCAGCATAACTTCTCCAAAACCCGAAGGAGTGCGTGAAGCAGGGAGGCTGGCCATGCCCCAGACCACTTGGTGCCAGGGGAGCGAGCATCCTCTTAGCCTATACAGCCCCACTTTCCTGCCAGTTTTACCCTTTTGATGTCCAGAGGGAGCAGGTATCAGCTCTGTATCCAGATCCTAAATTGTCCAGCCTTGTGGCCTCCATTGTGCATCGTTTACTGTGATGGAGTAGACAGGTGAGAACCCCGCCCCCCGGAAAAAAAAAAAGAAAAGACATGACTGGATGAAGAAAACGTAGTGAACAGGAGATTGATTGGGGTAGGTTTGGCAACTGGGGCCAGCCAAAAAAAAAAAAAAAATTCTCCTGAAAAGCAGAAATCTTCATCAATGAAGATCAAAATCTTCATCAAAGAAGACCCCTTTCACTCTGTCCTCAAGACTGGAGAAGTTTTTCCTTGGACAAGCAATATCAGTAACTGTTTTTGCAGATTCTAGTGAATTTTCTACACAGATAGGTCATCTTGAGTACAGACAGTTTAACTTCCTTCTTTCCAGTCTGGAAGCCTTTTATTTCTTTTTCTTGCCTCATTGCACTGTCTAGAACATTCATTTCAATGTTGAGTGGAAGTGGTGAAAGCAGATATCCTTGTGTTATTCATGACCGTTAGATGAAGGCATTCAGGCTTTCATCATTAATGATTTTCATTGTAGGTGTTTTGTTCTTTTTTAATGCTCTTTATTATTTTTCAATGGTGTTTTAAAGAACAGAAAATGTTAGTATTGATGAAGGAAAATTTATTAGCTTGGTGATTTATGGATCATGATTGCAGTGTCACTTTTTGGAAGGATGATTGCTTCCCCACTGACTTGCCCTTGCACTGTTGTTGCATATTAACTGCCCATTTACATGTGGGTCTATTTCTAGATTTTATTCTGTTCCATTGATCCGTTTGTCTTTCTTAGGGCACCTGTTTGACCTCATTAAAGCATCATCTTAATTCCTATAGTTTTCTAGTAAAAGTATTGAGGTCATATAGTGTTAGTTCTTCAACTTCATTTTTTTGTCTGAGATGATTTGGCCATTTGTACTTCCATAGAAATTTTAGAATTAGCTTGTCAATTTCTATAAAACACCTCCTGGAGTTTTGATTGCACTGAATGTGTAGATTCATATGTGGGGGTGGGGTGGGGTTGGGGGTGGTATTGACATCTTTATATAGAATCTTTTGACCCAGGGACATGGGTGTCCATTCATTTAGATCTTTGTTAATTTATCTCACAGTCTTGTATTTTTTATTGAACATATCTTTCATACTTTTTCATAGAGTAGATTTCCCATTGATCATTGCTGGTATATAAATTATAATTGGTTTTTGAGTATTGATCTTCTATCCTGTAACCTTGCACCATTCACATATTAGTTCTAGTAGCATTGTATAATTTTATAAGATTTAGTAGCATTTTATAATTTTATAAGATTCCATAGGATTTTCTAATATTAAGGCTCATGTTTGCAAATAATAACAGTTTCACCTTTTCCTTTCCAACTCCAGGTGACTTTTACATTTCTTTTTCTTGCCTTATGCAGTGGCTAATGGGTGGGAGAGAGTGTTTTTAGGAAGAGCCAATCTCTCCAGCATTGGTCTGGGGAGCCACCTAGCTCCAGGGACTACTTTCCTGAAATGTGAGCAGACTCTGACAAGTGCAAACTCTTTTGGTTCCTTTACCCTTTAGATGTATTTAGGTCAGCTTTGCCTGTATTCTGTTTCTTTGATGTGGCTGTCTGGGAAAGAATGTGCTTATGTAGCTTGCTCCCAACCTAAGGTTTCAGTTGGGCCTATCAAAGCTCTCATTTATCTCCCTGCGTGCTGATACCAAACAGAGGAGTAATGTGTCCAATCTTCTTCCCTTTCAAGTTAAAAATATTATAACAATTGACAGATACCTTTTAAAGGTTGTTTGTATTTGTGTGCATGTACACTCATATGTGTGCCAACATACATACACATGCATGCGAATGTTCATTTCCATAGGGACAGTATCCAAATATATGTCCTTATCATGCTGTTGTTCCTGGAAGTCCAATTTATTTAAAACAATTGCTCATACAAACTTTATAATGAAAATACTATGGATATTACGAATAGGGCTGTTTCTATGTTAGGTAAAATCTCTGCATAGTCAGCCTACACAACAGTCCCCCCTGGCATTCATAACCTTTTTTATTTTGCCTAACATTGCATCATGACTGACCTACAATGATATATACTGAGGGAATGACAGGGTGTGACTTTCGAAGTTAGGTCATAAATGACACCACAGCTTCAGTCTCAACCTCTTAGATTGCTCACCTAAGGTAGAAGCCTGCTACCATGTTGGGAGAGTACTCCCTCTGGGGAGGACTGAAGTTTCGCACCAATAACCAGAACCAATTTGCTAGTCATGTGAGTGAGCTGCCTTATGGAGAAATCCTCCAGTCTCCATCAAGGTGGAGATCATGGCAGTCCCAGGTGACACCTAAGTGGAATCTCATGAGATTACAAACCAGTGCCTGAGCCACTCCGAAACTGTTGATCCACAGACATTTTATGAGATAATAAATGTAATGTATTGCTTTCAACTACAAAGTTTTAGAGTGATTTGTCATGCTGTAGATTCCTAATAGTCTCCATGATAGGACTTCTTTGTGCTATTGTTGTTAGTCCATGTGAAAGTAATTAAAAACAAAACAAGCAAAAAGAAAGACAAAACTCTAAGAAGTTGGATTCCTATAACAAAATAATATATTTAGACACCCAGGGTCACTTCCAGCTTTTTGTGGTAGGAGGCAGGCTAATTCTCTTTTGTAGCACCAAATGCTTGGTGGGTAGGAGCTATGTACCTGAACTATGTTCAGTAGAATTACCAGAGAGGTGAAAAATAAGTAAGTGAAGCCTGCCTATCTTCCTACATTACTCCCAAGAGATCATGGAGTAAAGCTACTTGTTGATCCATTGATTTTTGGAAGCATGGTTATTGTAGTGAGGTACGTGCTAATTGGTTGTTGTCCAGCAGGTAAAGCCACCACTGATTGGCTGGTTTGAGGGGGTACTTATCACTGATTGGTTGATGTTCAGAAGGTTGCAAAGTACTTGCTAACTTTCAGAATGACATTTACGGAGGTGTGGCATGGAGGGGAGGAGGTGGGCACCCAGGTGAGGCCTTTGCTTCTTGTTTTTATTTTCAGAGCCATGTGTGCTGACCGACCTTAAGTTATGTAAATTAACAGCAATTTGGGACTTGGGATTTTGGCCAAACAATAGCTTTTTCTGTTTTTCTTTCTCACTTTTGTTTTTCCTTTAAAAATTTTGAGCAGAGGGCTGGGGATGTGGCTCAAGCGGTAGCACGCTCGCCTGGCATGCGTGCAGCCCGGGTTCGATCCTCAGCACCACACACCAACAAAGATGTTGTGTCCGCCGAGAACTAAAAAATAAATATTAAAAAATTCTCTCTCTCTCTCTTAAAAAAAAAAAAAAAATTGAGCAGAGGCCTTGCTAGGTTGTCCAGACAGGTCTCAAACTCCAGGGTTCAAGCGATCCCGCTACCTCAACCTCCCAGGTAGCTGGGATTTCAGGCGCGCACCACAGTGCCAGCTATTTCCTTTCTTGACTATGAAAAATAAGAACTTCAAATTCTCACCCTCCATCTCCCCCACCCCCTTCCTTCAGAGAGACCATCAGGGATTGTCCAGATCTTTATTTGTGAAGGTATGATTCAGCCCACCCCCCAATATTACCATGTAAATGATATAAGTGCCAGTTGCTGGGCAGAAACATACACTAATGAGTTTTTGTAATTATTAGAAAAAGCTAAATATGGAACATTTTGGGTATCCTACCCACGTCAGTACAGAACAAAAACATTTAATACAGGAAATACCCTGTATATATACAGGATGTCTGGGAACAGTCACATTTATTTTCATTGTTAGATGAGTCTGTCCCACCCTGGTCTAAGTCCCAGGAAGGACGAAGACTAAAAGGGTAAGTGGAACCGTGGTTTTCCTTGCCAACCGTGGCCTCCAGCAGGATCCCTGGCTCTGGCCTCCTGGAGATGACATAACAAGTGACATTCTCCCCACACCTGCACAGCAGGGGCTTCGGGATCCACGCAGTAAAGTGGGCCGACGGCTGAGAGGTAGTTGGTTAGACGGGTGTCACTTTTGTCCAAAGGCTGCTGTCTCAGAGACACATGCTAATATATAGGATGTGTCATCTGCCACAGATCAGCAGACGGCCGCTGCAACCAGTACTGCGCTGGGCGCCGAGTCACGTGGGTCCGGCGGCGGGGACCACCGAGATGTGCGGCCTCCAGGCGGCCTAGAGGGCCCTTGGGCGCTTGCTTGCTTCCGKATGGGCTTTTAGTTTCCAGCTTCTAGATGTTTGCGGAGGAAGATCGTGTCTGTTAGCAAGTTCCACCGGGCCAGGTCTTGGGTTGCCAGATTCTTCGCTGCCCCTGGCGGCTCATCAGCCTCCTCCCTTGAACTGGGTCCCAATGGTGGCCTGCCCCTCAGTCACCTGCGCTCGAGCGTTTGAGCCTCGCAGAAGCCGCCCGAGGTAGCAGCGCGACCTTCTAGAGCCGGCGCCCAGCCCCCGGCTGCCCCACCGAGGTGTGAGCCTCATTTCTGCCCCCCCCCCCCAAAAAAAAAAAAAATCTTGTCTTGGCAGCCTCCCTCGTCCGGTATTTACGTTTCTGATATTGTGGTTTCCTCCTTCCCTGGGTGGGGTGTTCAAATCCCTGTTGAGTCTCGGGTCAGCATCAGTCCCTTTGTCCGCATTCAGCCACGCCTGCCCCCTGTCTCCAGAGAGACCCCTGCTCAATGCCAAGGTCCCTGTAAGCAGTCTGTAAAACCACGTTTGTAGAGACCTGGCGCGCTTCTCTTCCGGTGTTAACTTCCCCATCCCCCAAGACAGCAGCAGGAAGAGTCCCCCAATGGTGAGCCCTGCTGACTCATGATCCTTACCCACCAATCAGAAAGCGTCCTGTGCCAACTGTTAAACCATTAAACTGTTAAACCCGCCCCAGCTCTATAAATGTGCAGAGCTGGTCCTCCATAAACCGGCACTTCTCCAATGAGGAGACTTGTCTGGTGCTTCTTTGATCCCTCAATCCACTGCATGTGAATGGACTCAAGAATGCTTTTCGGACTGAGCAGGCAGCTGGAGGATTGTCCAGCTAAGCAGAGCAGTGAAGGAAATGGGGTCATCGTGTGAGAACAGCCCGAGAGTTTCTCCAGTGAGAGGGTGGGTGTGGTGCTTAGGACAGGGTTCACAGTACTCATGGCTCTTCTTTTAACTTCTAAGGTTCTGCTTTCCCAACCCAGAAGACAGTACATGGAGCCAGGAGACGTACTATCAGCCATGACCCAAACAGCTCCGCCTCAGGTGAGCTGTTTTCTTTAAGTCTTTTCACTCACATTAGCTATCAGGTAATCAGGCAAGGATGAAGAGGGCCTCATTTGGCTAGGCTGTGGTTTCCTCTTTGATTTTGTCACCAGGGATATGGCAATGTAAGATATATGGAGGGGGAAATAAGTGTTTTGTGTGTACAGTGGTGAACTTGAATGTGTAGCTTTAAAGTAGACGTGAGGGAACCCAAATATTCTCCAGCAAAAATGGAAGTCCTGATCACATTCTGCCAGTGAAAGTCCCGGTCACATTCTGCCAACAAAAGTTATCTGCTGAAATCAGAGAAATTCTTCACTGAAGAATTGATATATCCAACAAATTGTGGATGTATCCCAGAAAGACCAGTATTGTTTTTCCAGTATGCATTTTTTAAATGCTAGATGCAAAGGCTCTGATGTGGGAGAGAAAGCTGGGTATTCTCCAGAAATAGGAAGAGGCCAGAGACAGTGGTTCAATATGTGGTGGGAGAAGTAGGCACAGGTATTGTGTGAATCATGGTGAGGACTTTTATTTCTCTTAGAAGAGTCCAGGGGGAGTCCACAGGAGAATTTTAAACAGGGGGAGGTGACATGGTTAGAATTACATATTAAAAAAAATTCCAGTCCTTAGTGGTGAATTCGCCAAGTGAGTTAATGAAGAAAATATTGAAGTTCAGGTAAGAGATTAAGTAGTGTACTTTCTTTTATTTACTTATTTTGAAAACAGTCTTGATATTTTGTTGAAGTTTTAGGTTCACAGCAAAATTGGGCAGAAAGCACAGAGTTCCCATATGCTTCCTACCATTACATTAAACAGAGGTTTCTACATATGTACATCTTGCCACAGAGAGGTACATTTGTTACAAGGGATGAATCTATGTCGACACATCATTGTCCCCTAAAGGCCAGAGTTTACATTAGAGTTTGGGTTTGGACAAATGTATAATGATGTGTATCCATTATTATGGTATCATACAGGATAGCTTTACTGCCCTAAAAATCTTCTCTGCACTTCCTGTTCATCCCCCTCTTCACCTTAACCTCTGACAACAATTGATTGATCTTTTTACTCTCTCCATAGTTTTGTCTAATCTAGAATGTCAGAGTTGGAGCTGTATGTATATAGCTTTTTCAGATTGGTTTTCTTCACTTAGTAATGTACATTAAGGTTCCTCCAAGGACTTACTATGGTATCCTGGTAACCCAAGAAGTGAGGCTGGCTTTGAACTCGTGATCCTCCTGCCAGCCTCCCAAGCTGCTGGGATTACAGGTGTGTGCCACTGTGCTCAGCCAAATATTTGCTTGTTGTCTGTGGTTTATCTTCTCATTTTCTTGACATATTATGCCTTTTTTTTTTTTTTTTTTTTGAGCTGGGATCTTGCTGTGTTGCTTATGCTGTCTCAAATTCTCACGCTCTCACAGCAGCCTCCCAAATATCTCGGATTACAGGCACGTATCACTGTGCCCAGCTAACATATTGTCCTTTTAAAATATGGTTTAGTTATCCCTCTTCTTTCTTTCAAATTTTTCTCCTAAAATATTGTTGACTAGTCTTTCACATGTATTTTTTTTTTCAGAAGTCTTTAAGTAATTTCCCAGCCCTACATGAATCTCATTATTATTTTTGGGGTGGGAAAGTGAATTTTGTTGAATTCATAGGTGAGTCTGGAAATAACTGACCTTTTTTTTTTTTTAAACAAATTTGATTCTATTCAGAAATTCTATATTCCAATTTACTCAGTTCTTCAAGTAAGTGAACATTTAGTTTTCCTCATCTTGATCTTGCATGAAAATTTGTTAGGTCTGTTCTTATTTATTTTTATATAAAAGGCATCTTATTTTCTCCCATTATATTTTCCAATTGTTTGTGATGATGAAGCCAGAATTAAACAGGCAGATAGGCAAGGGTTGGATCCAGAGAATGGAGGAATTGAAATATTAATTCCTTCAGAGCCCTTCTTCTACCCTGTCAAGATAATCTGCTCCTGCTCCAACCTGTTGCTATACGGAGTTATAAAGTTGTTAATTAATGTGTTCTGGGCTCCTTCATCTGGCCCTTTCCCATCCATCTGCTTCTTACCTTTTTGCCATCCCTTCAAGCATCTCCTAAGCCTAGTAGCAGGAAGGAGAGAGATAAGGAGAAGAGAGCAGGAGAACAAAGGAAGCCTAGGACATATAAAAAGGCAAAACACCCTCACTTCTTGGGATACCAGGATACCAGCTATGGCCCCCTTCTCCCTCCTGGGAGAAGTCTATGTTACCCCTTTTAAATAAACCCCGGTTTATATGCTTGCTTTGTTGCTTCTCTAATGTCATACTTCAACATGTGAGGGAGCAGAACTTGTGACTGATAACCAGTGGTATCAATGATATTTAGGAAATCTAATAATTATAGCTTACTTATCCTGTATCTAAATAAGTTAATGAACTTTTTGTCAGTTCTAAGTGTTTCAGTTTATTCTCTTGGGTCTTTAGATACTTTTAGACAGATAGTTATTTTATCTTCAAGCAAAGATATTTATGTTCATTACTTTTCTATATTTATGCTCTTTTGCCTGATTGCAGAACATAGGACCTCAGCTCATGGTAAATATTCATCCCTCAGATTTAACAGATATATTGTTATGACATTTTACTGTTACAGTGATGTTCATAATAGCTTCTCCACCCTTCTCACAAGTTGAAAAAAATTTTTTCCATCTATGGCCAAACCAATTTTAAAATTACTTCTTTCAGCAAATGTTATTAAGCATCCAGTATAAGACAAACACTATTGTGTGTGCTAATAATCCAATCATGAACAAAATAGAATCCCTGCCTGAGGGACTTACTTCTGGTGGGGCAGATAAACAGCGAATAATGTAGTAAGTCAGATGATGAAAAATACTGTGGAGAATAACAAGGTGAAGTTCAGAGGGACCTTCAAAATACATAAGAGGGAAAAAAGACATCCTAAACCCAACTGTCTTAAGACAGTACATTTTCCCTTTAATGTTAAGCATATTTTTAGAACTCATGAAACTTGGGATATTTGATGGCAGATGGGAAGGTCAATTTGGGGAGGAAGAGATTGGTAGCATTAGGCTGGAAGGAAAAAGGTGTTCATGAAGCTTTGGAGGTGTTGGGAGTAAGGTTTGGTTTTACCTGCAAGCCTGTGTTTGTCATCCTTAGAAGCTTTTGATGCCCAGTTGTTGAAGCGATGATAACTCACAGGACAACTTGATTTAGTCTGCTGTTTGGATTTTTGGGGCGTGCTTTGCACCTCATCATTGCTCAGTTAAAAGGCTAGCTTCCCTTTGAGAAGTGTCTACGTTTGTTCTTTTTCAATCAGTATCTCCTTTAAACTGAGTACTTTTCATTGCTCTTGTTTTAAAAGGACCTCTCATAAGGACCTACATGTAGAGTCAGTAGAGCTGCTGCGAGCAATTTGAATTGCCAGAATTTATCCTTGGTGTGTTTTTTCCTTGCTTCCTCCAAAAGCAGTTCTAGTAGCTTTCCTTTCTCCCTATTCCCCCATGCAGACTCCAGGGCACAGGCTACTTTAGAGACTCTGAGAGTCAGATTGAAACTATCTGGGTCTTCACAGGGCGTCATGGAAGGGTTCAGAAGCTCTTGCTCCCAGTATGTTATGTGTGGTTTTGAAATAACTGACCTTTAATCCAGATTGGGAGGAGGGGCCAGGAGGCCAGGAGGATATATGTAAATATGGATTGAGTGATGGTTTGAGGAGTTGGGGAGTTCAAGAAACTAGTCTCCAAAGGGGAGGTAGTACCAGATTTTGATGAAGTTCAGGGTTTAGCTATGTTTTTAGAGAAGTTTATGAGCCCAGAGTGGGGGACTGGTATGCTGAAAGAGCCCATTTTGATATTTGATAGATATGGGTTGAAGTTAGAGCTCTACTATTTTCCTGGCTGTATGATCTTGGCTAAAGTAATTATCTTTCTGCACTTTACTTTTATCATTTGAAAAATGGGAATGTTAATTCCTTACAATATATGTATTGTAAGGATTAAGTGAAATACAAGATTTAAAGTCACTCACCTCAGAGGCTAATCAACAAACATTAGTTCTCTCCACTCTTGGGAAGATGGAGATGGCCCTTGGGAAGGCAGAGATAGGCATACTCAGTGAGGAGGTGCTGAGGGCCATTGCCAAGTAGGAATGACGCATCGATATTTCCTTGCCAGCGATATTTCCTTGCCAGCGTACCCCATGTTAAATGGACTTGCCTTGGACATTGCATGTGTCTTTGAGAAAGGTGACCCTGCTCAAGGACCAGGGTGGATCCAGGATTAGGGTGTATCCTGCAGGTTTTAGGAAGTATCCGGGTTTAAGACAATTTGGGTTCCCGGTTTAAGATAATCTGGGTTTAGGGAAGTTGCAGGTTGAAGGTTATTCCTGCTGGGAGTAGGGCGTGCCTGCTGCCTGAGTTCCCGCTGAGTTCTCCTGGAGAGAGCCACCACACACCTTGTAGATTCAAACAGCAATTCTTATTCCCGAACTCACACCGGCCCTGTACAAACATGTTCTGGGGAAATCCAAGTTCTCCCGCACAATTCACTTCCCAAAAACTTTCTCTCCAGGAGAACTCAGCGGGAACTCAGGCAGCAGGCATGCCCTACTCCCAGCAGGAATAACCTTCAACCTGCAACTTCCCTAAACCCGGATTATCTTAAACCAGGAACGCCCTAAACCCAAATTGTCTTAAACCCGGATACTTCCTAAAACCTGCAGGATACACCCTAATCCTGGATTAGGTCCTTGAGCAGGGTCCTTGAGCAGGGTCACCTTTCTCAAAGACACATGCAATGTCCAAAGCAAGTCCATTTAACATGGGGTACGCTGGCAAGAAATATCGATGCGTCATTCCTACTTGGCAATGGCCCTCAGCAAGGAGGACAGCCTGGGTAGGTGGAATGGAGCTTAGAAGACTGGGAGATGGATCTGTGTCCAGGGACAGGGCACTTCCAACCTGTCTCTGAAGATAGGTGGTTCAGAGAAGACATCCAGAATAGGCAGGGTACAGGTTTCTTTCAAGAAAGCCAGCTTTCTGATAAGCAGATAGGTAGAAAATGCAGAACATTTGTAAGTAGTGGCTGCTCTGACACAGAAATGATCTTGAGGAAGAGGCAGTTGGGGCTGCATATGTGCTTTGGATGGGTAGAGACAGGGTGAGTGGCAGCTGTGTTTAATGGTAATATATAAAAAATACAGTGATGGATTATGGAGTACATGAAAATGGGAAGTGCCAGAGGAACAGATCTGTAAAGCCAGGAACACAAGGGTTGACCTGGTTACCAGGGAGAGAGTGCTGGAGGCCAGGTTATGTGATTGGGATAGCAATTTGGGGCTCCAGAGTTGTATAGATGGGACATTGCTGGTGCTCCCCATTTTAGGAAACATGGCCGACAGCCAACTCCTGGCTGGGGTGCTGGGTGCTTTTCTTCCTAAGGAAACCTTCTCTGGGGCTTAGGGTGGTGAACCGAGGCCGGGCTATTTCTTCCCTGCAGGTTAGACTGCCCTCTTCTTCCCCTTACTCAGAGCTTGAGCAGGAATCTGTTGTTTCAGGAGCCAGTGACTTTTGAGGATGTGGCTGTGTACTTCACCCAGAATCAGTGGGCCAGCCTGGAGCCTGCGCAGAGGGCTCTGTACAGGGAAGTGATGCTGGAGAATTATGAGAATGTGGCTTCCTTGGGTAAGATGTTTCCCAGGGGCCCTTTGTGAGATCTGTTAGTGCCTCCTATGCTTTGGAGATTCTAGTATCCCTTAGGCCTGGTGACTCCAGAGGGATGCTATCACCATCCTCCAGAGATGCTGGGTGGGGAAATCCCTGATTCCCTTGGTTTTAAAACTGAAGTTCCTTACACTCAGGGAAGGGTGTGGTTCTGGGACCTGAGGGCAAAGGCCCTTCCTGGCTCCTAACCCAGGTGAGTGCTTTGTTTCTCCATCCTTGCAGTTTTAGGGATGTTGGTACTTCTCTGTGAAGTCTCCCAGGAAAGCAGTACATACATGCTTCCAGAGGGAGTTTTCTTCTAAGACAGGACCAGATGGAAAAGTTTCTTCCTGAGGAGGATTATATCCCCCTGGTTCATTGTGGAGCACAGTTGGACCCCCTCCTTGGAACTCTTCTGTAGCTCACTTGACCTTCTGGGTGTTTCATTTCCCTCCCTAATAAGCCCAGTGGAAGGTAGGTTGAAGAGGTCTCAGGAACAGTGCTGGATGTCTCCTCTTAGCTTTCTTTCTTGTTTTCTTCCTAAAGTAGCATTTCCATTCCACAAACCTGTTCTCATCTCCCAGCTGGAGAGAGGGGAAGCGCCATGGGGTGCAGATCCCTGGGAGACAGAGGTTTTGCTCAACCTCAGTCCTGGTGAGTAAGAGAACCTAGTTATAATGTTTCTTACCTTGCCTTCCTGGTTTACTGTGTGAGAAATGTTTCTTCTGCTGCAGGGATCAAAGCTCCCAGTCATTGCTAAGGTCATACCCTGTGCACCTCTGTCCTCACTGAGTTCTGACCCCGAGCCTGGAAAAACCAGCCCCTAGGAGTGCACAGCCCCACACTGTCGGCCCATTCATGTGGCTGTTTTTCTAAGCAGTAAAGCTATGACCCAGTAGCTCCAAAACTACTACTTATCTCACTTAGCAGTGGGAATTCTTGATTTTTTTAATGTAATTTTTCATAGCAAAGAAGTGAAGTCTCAGCCAACTTTAAGGATTATGTGATCCTGTGGGCCAAACTGATTTGTATTAGAGCTACAAATTTTATTTTTAGGCCTTCAGCAATGACAAGAATGGCTTTGTCTTTTTTTGTATCTGATTCATCTAAAAGTTCCATTTCCCATAATCTTTAGGTCCATATTGTATTTGTCAAAGATGGGACTGGAATATTTGGCCAGGAATATTTTCCTAGCATATCCCCAACACACACGCCCAGAATACCTGAAGTTCTCTGAGCTGGCTTACCAGTCCTGGAAGGTTTTGATTACCCAGGTTTGCTTTCTTTTGTAGGAGAATTCCCAGTCTTGCTTCTCATGCACTCTAGGAGTTGACGTATGTAGGTCCTTGAGCAGTGATGCCATGGTGGTCCACCGCTCTCTAGTCCAACTTCTGTTCCAGCTGCCTTTCTGAAAGAATTTTCTTTTATCCCATCCAGAACATTATATAGAATATTTTAAAGATTATTAGGGTATTATTTAGAATTTTGGGTGGTTTCCTGGGTTATAGGTGGGGCATGTTTTTCTGCTTTCTGTTTCTCAGCCTGTGAGACCTGCTGAGCTGTTTTTCTGTTCTTCCCATTCTTGCATCTTTTTTTCCTCTCTTAGGTCTCGGGTCTGTCTTAATTTTTTTTTTTTTTTAATTTACTGCCAATCCCTCTTATCTCTTTTTATCTTTTTTGGTTTCCGCTTTTCCCATTGCCTCCTTTCCTTCCCATTCCTGAGGTTCTCCTTTCCATTTTCCCTGCCTTAGTTCATTCTTCAGGCTTCCTCATGGGGGCCATTTCCTGGTTGTCTTTCCTGGTCTGTTTTTGAGCATCTCCACTTCTCCACTTGTATGTCAATATTTATCTTTGTGTCTCTCATTCTCCTTTGTGGGTACTTATAGCCATTTCAAGGGTATTTTTCTAAAGATCATTCTTCAAGGGGAAATTGGCATCACCTGACCGTTTTCCTTTTGGCTCAGTAACTAGTAACACTTGTGCTTTCTCTGGGCAGGTGGTAAATCCTGGATCAAGAGTGAAGAGCCACTTATAAAGCAGGAAGCCTCTGAAGAGACAGAGCTACACAGCATGCCCAAGGGAGAAGGGCCCAGAAACAATACTCAGCATTTTGGTTTTAAAAGCAAGGCACTAAGACAGACTTTCAGTCTAAATCCAAATCTGATACTTCGAGGTGGAATGAAGTTCTATAAATGTAAAGAATGTGGGAAGATCTTCAGATTCAACTCAAAGCTTCTTCGGCATCAGATGAGTCACACTGAAGAAAAGCCCTTCAAATGTAAGGAATGTGGCAAAGCTTTCAAGTCTAGCTATGACTGTATTGTCCATGAGAAAAACCACATTGGAGAGGGGCCCTATGAATGTAAGGAGTGTGGCAAAGGTCTGAGCTCCAGCACGGCTTTGACTCTGCACCAGAGGATCCACACTGGAGAGAAGCCCTATGAGTGCAAGGAGTGTGGCAAGGCCTTCCGCCGTAGCGCGGCCTTTGTTCAGCACCAGAGGTTGCACACAGGGGAGAAGCTCTATAAATGTAAGGAGTGCTGGAAAGCTTTTGGGTGTAGGTCACTTTTTATTGTCCATCAGAGAATTCATACCGGGGAGAAACCCTACCAGTGTAAGGAGTGTGGTAAAGCCTTCACTCAGAAAATAACCTCCATTCGGCATCAGACAGTTCACACCAGGGAGAAGCCTTATGAATGTAAAGTGTGTGGAAAAGCTTTCAAATGGTACGCAAGTTCTGTTCAGCATCAGAAGTTACACCCAGTCGAGGAGAAGCCCGTCAAGGCTCTTGAGCCAAGCCTGAGCAAACCCCAGTGCCCTTCTCCAGCCTTAGCACCAGCCTTAGTACCAGTTCCTGTCCAGGGGTCATGCCCTGCTCCCGCTGTGGTTGTGCCTTCACTCACCTTTCCAAATGCTGTTCTCATTCCTACCTCTGGGCCTTTGTTCATGCTGCTGCCTATATCTGGAATACCTTCTTCATCTACCCAAATAGTCCATGTTTTTCAGAGTTTTACTCCTTCTGTGAAGCCCACCCCAATTATTCTGATCCCATCTCACTCCTCTTGAGTTTTTTTTTTTTTTTTTTGGTACTGGGGATTGAACTCAGGGGCACTTGACCACTGAGCCACATCCTCAGCCCTATTTTTTTTTTTATTTTATTTAGAGACAGGGTCTCACTTGAGTTGCTTAGCCCCTCAATTTTTGCTGAGGTTGGCTTTGAACTTGTAATCCTCCTATCTCAGCCTCCCAAGCCATTACAAGTGTGCACCACCACTCCCAGCCTTCATGAGCTTTATCTTGACATTCCTATGGCTCTTATGACCAACAGATCTCCACTTTAATTTGATTTTATTTGTATTTTTTTCCCTTTCCCTTTCATGGGTTACTACTGTTTCTATATAAACTCCATTGTAATTTGTATACATTTAAAGACTGTGTTCATATAATATATTCTTTTCTGGGTAGAAAATGGAAATACTGAACATTTGCATTGGTCCCTTTCAGACTTGAACAACAGTGACTGTGACTGCATCCTAGGGTTACCAGTGTTAGAAGAACTGAGGGGTTACTTAGGTACATTAAGGAAGGTTGGGAAAGAGGACATCCCTGTATTAGGCTGATGTAATTAGAGAGAAGCAACCTCAGAGAAATAGGAGGAGGCATGAAAAATCTGTGGAAGTAGAGAATTAGAATAAATTTCCATTTATAGACTTTGAAAATCAATGCAGATTATTTACCAGGCCATTCACTAGGTAGGTATTGATACTTTTGAAATTGTGTTGCCTTTGTTATGGATCATTGAGGATCCAATACTCTATGCACAAGTTAATATGAAATAATAAAACTTATGCATTGATAATGGAGATAGCATTTATGCACAATCATTTTTTTATGTGTAAAGGAGGATTTTTCACCTTTAGGGTTTTTTTTTTTTTTTTTTTTTTTTTTGAGTACGGGGCTTAAACCCAGAGATACTTTACCACTGAGCCATATCTCTAGTCCTTTTAATTTTTTTTCTTTTTTAATTTTAAGACAGGATCTCACTGAGTTGCTTAGGGCCTCAGTAAGTTGCTGAGGTTGGCTTCTATCTTGTGATCCTCCTGCCTCAGCTTCCTGAGCTGCTGGGATTATAGATATGTGCTGTTGCTCCCAGCTTCCCCTTTAGTTTAGCTCTTGATATGTAGATGTTTCTTTTTAACTGTTGTTTCCTATATAAATAGACTCATATATACACCAAACAAAATAAATAAATATACACAAAGGCTTTTATCCATGTTGCATCTGTTGTATAAGTTTTTCCTGGTGAGAATTCTGTTTTTCTCTTTGCAAGCACTGATTTCTCCATTTTCTTTTCTCCAGGTTTCATGAGTTCTAAGTTTGAATTTGATGAATTACCAAAGAAATAGAAGTGGTGATATGAATCCAACTCAGGTTAAATCTGAATAAGCTTCCCAAATTGTTTTTTAGAAACAAAGAGGGCTGCATAGTAGATCAATGACTAGGCTTCTGTTGTAGGTTAATGAAGTGGAATTTTCAGTTGATATTTTTTCCCCCAGTGCTGGGAATTGAACCCAGGAGCACTTTACCACTGAACCACATCCCCAGCCTTTTTTTTTTTTTAATTCATTTTTTACTTTGAGACAGCATCTTGCCAAGTTGCTTAGGCCTTGCTGATTTGCTGAGGCTGGCCTGGAACTTGAAATCCTCCTGCCTCAGCCTCCTGAGCTGCTGGGATTACAGGTATGCACCACCACACCAAGCTTAGTTGGTCTTGTTGGTTGATCCCTTGAGGAGGTTCTTTTATTACAGCTGTGCAAATGGCTGTGGAAGTGAATAAGGGAAAAGAACTTGAGTTATGCATTATTAACAGTAATGTAAACATAAGTCCTGAACACGGATGGACAGGCCATACACTTTTTTCCTTTAGTGTTGTTTGCTATCTATATATTTATCCATAGCAAGTAATAAAAAAGTATTTACATTCTTGTGTTTAAACTTAGTCTGAATTTACCTGTGTGCTTGGGAAAAAACAACAAAGTAATTTTCTGACCTAACTACCTGAAATTCCGATTTTGGGTACCTGTGGTATTGGCCAGATCTTTAGGTGTGGACCATTCTTTGGAGAGAGACTTAGATAGAAAATGCCTGTGGGCTATTTTGAAACATCCATTCGTAAGAGATTTGGGAGGGACTGCCTTAGTTCACAGTGGATCTTTAGGGAGACTTCTAAAATTAGTTCAGGTGGTGTCAGTTAGAACATTGAACAGCAAGTGAAACATGTCCTGCTGGGAAGAGAGGCAAAGAAATCTTATGTAATTATGAAGAGCCCCCTCCCCCATGGCCATGAGTTTTATTTATTAAATTGAATCTTTTTTTGTTGTTTGTTTTTAAACAAAAATTTTATTTTATTAGAGCTTTATAGTTAAACATAATAGATTCATCTGACAACTCATACATGCATGGTAAACCTAAAATTTTTTATGGGTGCATTGTAATTATGTATATTAGATATCATTGTTATATATTCATTCATGTATACAACATAATTTGGTCAAGTTCATTCCTCATTAATTTCCTTTTCCTATCACTCCCTTCCCTTGATCTCCTTCCTCTATTCTACTGGTCTCCTTTCTGTTTCATGAGACACGTCTTTCTTTTCTGCTTCTTTTCTCTCTAGTTTCCACATAGGAGAGAATATGAAGAGTTCTCGAGTCTCCACTGTGGGAAGGCTTGTCGGGGTTGACATTGGCGCTCTCTTGCTACTTATTTGCTTATTGGCTGAAGTAAAGAGGAAAATATTTTTTTCTTCTTATAGAACTAATACACTTCAAAATAGCTTTGGATTAAAGAACACAGTAGATTCTAGAGATGATTTAGATTGAGTAACAATAAGAATAGGACATATCAGGGCTGGGGTTGTGGCTCAGTGGTAGAATGCCTAGCATGCGTGAGGCACTGGGTTCGATCCTCAGAACCACATAAAAATAAAGGTATGTGTCCACCTATAACTAAAAAAATATTTAAAAAAAGAATAGGACAGATCAGTCTATGGGATATAAGAGATGATACTCAGAGCAGTATTGAGTTTTACATGTTTTCTTGAGAAAATAAGTTTGGAAGCCTATAGTTTGGGTGGATGCTTAGTGGTGGGAAACAATAACAAAATTAACGGAGAGCAAAAAACAAACCCCAACCCTAAAGTATATTTAGCAGATATAAGATACATGAGGGAAAGTTGTAGTTAATTGAACATGAATGTTAGCGTCCACACCTTCCTGGCACGCCACTAAAACAGTTGAGGGTTAAAAGATAAAAAGGAATTACAAACTCACAAGGACAAGAAAACTGATGATGATAGATAGCACTAAGAAAGCCAGTCCAAGAGTGCTGACTTTTAGCAGACCCCAGAAAGATGAATCCTAAGACATATTGGCAAAGTGGAGCTATATGGCAGAATTCCCAAGGGGCTTAAGAAAGCAGGGGACGCAAGTGGGGCTAGAAACAGGAAAACTGGCTGAAAGTCTTTAGAAACCACTTCGATTGTCTGGTCACCTCCCCATTCTTTCATTCTCAGGAATTTTGGAGGATGGGTGCCACACTCAATGTTTGGTCCTTCTCTGTCACCCCTCAACTCTATCCCCTCTCTGTCATTTGTTACCTCTCTAACTTCTGAAAATCTTTCATTCTACTCTCTACTCTCTAGGTGATTTCTATTCAAAATGCTGCCAACTAGACTCTGGCACCTGCTAAGCTAAAACCACTTTGGTCAGGTCAAAAGAAAAGACCAATGACACTGACATCTCAGATTCCCCAATGAAATGGCTCTACAGGAAAGTTATAACCATGCACAGTTCCTTTCTTAGATATAAATAAATAGCCAAGAGTATGAAAGGCTGAAATAAGCAAGAGGTAGGGGTGGGGGTGGGCAACAAAGCCCACTTAAAGGAAACATACTATGTAAGAAGAAAATATCATGTTCACACCCATGAGATAAGAGCATGCTATAAAAAAGAATTCAGAGGAAAAACAGAAACTTCTGAAAAACTCAAAATGCATATCAGAAATGAGATACTCAGTATAAGCACTGAAAAAGAAAACTTCCCTAGAAGGTATTTGACAAAAGGAGGGGAAAATAGTAAAAAGATGTCCAGTATATGTGCTCTAACAGTTAAACAGGCACTAAAGAGTAGGAGATGGAGAGGTTGCAAAGGAAGAAGGTATTAATTCAACCAATCCCCAGAACTGGGGGCGGGGGGCTCCAGGCCTTCATTTGTACTTGTTAAACCTTTAACACCCAGAGAAAAGTTATCCCTCCTCAGGCCTCTATGCCTCCACTGGCAGAAATAAAGAGGGGGACTCCAGACCCTCTAATTATCCTCCAATTATCTGTCTGTTCACCGTTATTTCATCATGTCCTTTGTGCTTATATTGGTCATCTCAAGGTAGCCCTGAACTCCAGCAAGTTGAGTCTATTATCTCTGCACATCTCTGAATCTATTATCTCTATCCCCTCTGTCATTTGTTACCTCTCTCTAACTTCTGAAATCCTTTCATTCTATTCTCTACAATTGGCACTCATTATTAGCAAAATTCCCTGTATTTTGTCTCAGCCCTGAACATTGTCTTTACCTTCTTCCTCTAAAAAGAACTTTGAGGATATTGCTTTCCTACCTTGCTCTGAAATGGCAGAATTCCCAAATGGTGGTTGTATTTCTTACACATACCTAACACCAGATCTGGATCCTCTTTGTTTCCCTTCGCTAGTTCCAGATCATTTTTCACCCCTCTCCTTTTCTAAGATCCTCCAGTTTTGAATCCTTATATCATCTGGCTGTACTCCCTAGTCTCTGAGTCACAGCCCCTCATTTCTTGGCAATTTTAGTTCCTGGCCAACTGTCATTCTTTTCCCCCGCCCCCCCCTCATTATTTTTCCCTCCTCTTTATTGAGGTATAATTAACAAGTAAAAATTGCATATATTCAAGGTGCATAATATCTCAAAATATTCTTGTCTTAATTTTTGGCGATTCAATGAATAACCCTTCTGATAATCATTTAATTTCTGTTT